CATGTCCCCCGTGTCCCCCCCCCCTAAATTACGTCCGTGTGTAGTAGGCAGTAATCACAGCAGGAAATTCAAATAGCCTACCAAATCAAACTGTCAACGGCTAAATTCTATGGATTATGAGTAACAGGAACAGTATTTATGAAGGAGACATTGCTGTTGACTTTAAACCAATCATTCATTTTCAATGTTGTGAGCACCACAAACTAATAATTCGGTTTGGTGAATATAAACTAAATGGGGAGGGTATGGGTTGATTTCTTGTTTGTCATATTATAAAACCGTTGCTACGGTGAAATCGTATTATTTAAACATGGATGAACAGCACAGACAGAAGCCTGTTCATGGCGTATGAACGCCATGGCGCGGCTAAATCGTGCCATACTGACTCAGTGGAAAAGGGGCATGAGTGACAGAAAACCCTCTCAGTGCACGGAACGCATGCAAATCCAGGCTTCACATATCAGGCGTCACACACTTCACAAACACTCACAATAGGCATGATGTAACGTTAGCTGCTATTGTAGCTTTTTTTTTAAAAAAAAGCTGTATGATAAGATAACATTAGTAAAAGATGGCTGTTGCAACAAACGACGACAGGCCAGGTTCATCCTGTCCGCTGCTTAATGGGAATGTAGCATTGCCAGTAGAAATAAAAACGTCTCAACACAATATTTCCATTACTGTATCATTCACGGGTAAATTCGACAGACGGATCATTTCAGATTGATTATCAAGATCAAGTCATGGGGTGGGACCTGACTGGTTTATGTGGATTTATCCTCGCTGTTCAACCCTCGCTGTTCAACCCTCATTGGATATATGTTGATTTCATAAACTATGATTCAACTGACTGAATGAAAACAGAATAAAATACAAACCTGTTTCACTGCGGAGAATCCGATGTTCAACCTCTCCGTCTATGTGCTCTTCCACGCCTGTGTTCCGTCAACAGCAGCAAAAGGGACACTTCCGGTCTACTTTTCACAGAAAAGGCATATATTCTTTACAGTATTTTTAGTTGTAATGACAACTCTACTTATTATTTACTGTGGTTTACGTAACACAAGTGTTTTTTATCCAGTAAGCCTGTATCACATAATCCTGTTTATGTAAGGCAATTTAGTTAGTAATGTAAAAGAAAATGCACATGGTACAACATTTTGACTTATCTGGATTGTCTGATAAAAATAATATGTTGACAATATTTTGACATATTTAATTAGAATTATGAGTTATTAATATGGAAGGCCATTTCTGCCAATGTGATGAAAAAAAATTAAAAAGTCATTATAATGAGACATTTTAAGTGTAAAATGTTCTACTTTTCCCTTTAATTTCTATATAACGTTAAGTTTACAACTAAATATGGAAGAATCTGTGCAGTTATGGTCCAACAGTAGTGCCAAACTGCTATAGTTAGCCAGCCCCCAGTAATGGGTGCGGGCCAACCCTAGCTTCTGCTAGCTGTCCCCCAGCGGTTCCCGAGCAGCCAGGAAGCTAGGGAGGCTGGGTGACTGTCTGAAGGAAGCATAGCCCCAGGCAGCAGAAGCCCACAGTTCCCCACCAACAAGTTAGTTCACGTTTCCAATAGATTTTCCCCACTCAGCGACACACCCGCTGAGGAACAGACTCTGGTTATTGGCAGCTCCATAGTCAGAAACGTGAAGTTAGCGAAGCCAGCGGCCATAGTTAAATGTATCCCTGGGGCCAGAGCGGGCGATGTTGAATCATATTTAAAACTGCTGGCTAAGGACAAACATAAATACAGTAAGATAGTTATTCACGTCGGCGGTAATGACACCCGATTACGCCAATCAGAGGTCACTAAGATTATGTGGAGTCGGTGTGTAATTATGCAAAAACAATGTCGGACACCGTAGTTTTCTCTGGACCCCTGCCCAATGTGACCAGTGATGACATGTATAGCCGCATGTCGTCATTCCACGCTGGCTGTCGAGGTGGTGTTCCAGAAAACGATGTGGGCTTCATTGATAACTGGCAGCCTTTTTGGGGAAAGCCTGGTCTGATTAGGAGAGACGGCATCCATCCACTTTGGATGGAGCGCTCTCTTATCCAGGAATATGGCGAAGTTTATTTCTAAATCCTGACAGTCAAGAGTTGGGACCAGGAAGCAGAGCTGCTGTCTTACACACTTCTCTGTGCTTCCATTAGTACAGTCACCCACCCAAAACCCCATAGAGACTGTGTCTGTCCCCCGACCACTGAAATTATTTAAAGAAATAAAATCAAGAGGAGTTAAACATGAAAATCTAATAAAATTAAAACTAACTCCTCTGTAGCACAACATAAAAGAATGAAATGTGGACTGTTAAATATCAGGTCTCTGTCCTCTAAAGCTGTTTTAGTGAATGAATTAATATCAGATTATGATATTGATTTACTTTGTCTTACTGAGACCTGGTTGTCCCACGAGGAGTATGTTAGTCTAAATGAATCCACCCCCCCCAGTCACATTAATACTCACATCCCCCGAGGCACAGGCCGAGGAGGTGGAGTAGCAGCCATATATGATTCGAGCGTTTTAATGGACCCTAAACCAAAACTAAATTATAATTCATTTGAAAGCCTTGTTCTTAGTCTTACTCATCCAAACTGGAAAACTCTGCAGCCCAGTTCTATTTGTTATAGTGTATCACGCTCCTGGCCCGTACTCTGATTTTCTATGTGAATTCTAAGAGTTTTTTATCAAGTTTAATCCTTAAAACGGATAAAGTAAATATTGTAGGTGATTTTAATATTCATGTAGATGTTGACAATGACAGCCTTAGTAATGCATTTACCTC